TGGCTTCTGAGAATACGGGGATTACGAATATTATTAATATTGAGCGCTATAGTATTTATAGCCAGCTTATATCAGTAACGGGTTATGTATTGAAAATTCATTGAGATTGTTTTATTGAGAGTGCGCGGCAATGTAGAGATGAGAAGGGAACTTATGATTTTGAAGGTTGAAGCTGAGATAATTTGGATCAAGGAGATACAGAAAGATCTGGTAGAAGACAAGATTTTGGGTCAATGGAAGGGTCAATTGCAGCTATTTTAAAGATGACACTGGAATATGGCGCTGTGGGGGGAGGCTGACCAATGCCAATCTTCCTTTTGAGACAAAGCATCCAATTCTCCTACCAGGAAGAGGACACTTTGTAGAGTTAATCATAAGGAGAGCTCACGAGAAGGTGTTCTACAATGGAGTTAAAGACACCTTAACTGAATTACGTTCGCGGTTTTGGGTATTACGGGGTCGAGCTGTTATTAGACGATTAATTCATACTTGTGTGACTTGTCGCAGATTGGAGGGTCAATCATATGCTGTACCTCCAATGCCTCCACTACCAACTAATAGAGTTAGTGAAAGGCCACTGTTTTATTATACTGGGGTTGATTTTGCAGGGCCTATTTTTGTCAAAAATAGTGCCTATGAATTGGGAGGGAAAGCATGGTCTTGCCTATATACCTGTTGTATTACTAGAGCTATCCATTTGGACTTATTGCATAATATTTCTTTTGAGTATTTTTTTAGGTCTTTTAAAAGGTTCGTTGCAAGAAGAGGTCTGCCACGGAAGGTGCTCTCGCATAATGCCAAGACTTTCAAGAAGATGGCTAGTCTACTTAAGGAAATTGAGGATCATAAGGATGTGAAGCGCTACTTTTCTGATCACAAGATCCAGTGGAATTTTAATGTGGAAATGTCTCCATGGTGGGGAGGAGTCTTTGAAAAATTGATACGGTCAGTTAAACGATGTATGAAGAAGGTCATTGGACGAGCTAGTCTTACTCATGAAGAATTACTTACAGCAGTTATCGAAATTGAAATGATTATCAATTCCCGTCCATTATCTTATGTTACTCAAGACGATTTAGATGAGCCCATTACACCGTCCCACCTTCTGATTGGTCGACGATTGACAAGCCTTCCGGATGACATTTGCTGTACTGAAGAAGATGCATTTACATTAACTCCACCAGCACTAACTAGAAGGATGGAGTTTCTAAATCGCCAGTTATCTCATTTTTGGAACAGATGGAGGAAGGAATATCTTCTAGAGTTAAGAGAAGCTCATAGAATTCATTTACGTAATTCACCTGGCAGATATTGGATGCAAGTGGGAGACATTGTAGTCATACATAGTGATGAGAAGAAACGAGGTTTCTGGAGTAATGGGCGTGTAGAAGAGTTATTAACTGGTCGAGATGGAAATGTCAGATCTGCTGTAGTGAGAGTTTACGCTGGTTCGAGATGATCTAAACTACTAAGGAGACCCATTCAAAGATTATTTCCAATTGAAGTCCATCGTGATGATCAAGGTGATCCAGAGTTAGTTGAGGAAACTCAGCTACCACTATCAAATGAAGTAGAAGACATCACTAATATTCCATGTGATGATCTAACAGTTGAAGATAGTCCAAGTGAGGAAATTAATACAGTCCAAGATTTGGTTAGTTCGGTCGTGAATGACAACGAGGAATTGGTCACTAATAAGAGGCCTAGGAGAGCAGCTGCTTTTGCAGCATGAGATCATATTAAAGCACAATCACTGATGTAAGTGCTGTAACAATGACTATCTTACATAATTAGTAGTTATTATTGTAGTGTATTATTGTGCATATCATGTAGTTTTGTTATTATTGTAATGTTGTTATTGTTATTGTGCATATTATTGTAGTGTGGTTAATATTATTGTAATTATTATGTATTTTGTTTATTATTAGAATTAATTTTATGATTATTATTTTGATTGTTTTGGCTAGTTTTACTAGCCAAGGGGGGAGTGTGTTGAATATTATTATTATTGTATGATTATTTCATTATTCATTTCATTAATTATTCATTTTTGTGAGCATGCGCAGTACTCAGTTGAGTCTGCCATTATATTAAAGAGAAGTTTTTGTTGTGAGTCTTGTACTCTTGTTAAATCCGCTCCAGTCCTGATATTTAGCCGTCCATCTCCTAAAAAGAACCGACTAGTTAATCAATAAAAATGTGGGGTGGACAATGATTCAGAAGCTAAAGATGATGTGGGGGTGGAAGATAATTGGAAAACTGAAGATGATGTGGGGGCAGATGATTGGGAGCTGAAGATGATGTGGGGGTGGATGATGAGGAAGGGCCTGGACTGGATTGTTTTGTTTATTTGTTCTTTTATCAAGGAGACCAGTCAGACTTTTTCTAATTAGTTGGCATGCATCGCATCTGTTTGATTTCCTTGAATCAATTAACAAGTCACAATTTATGCTTCTTATGGTATGTAATATGTCATCTATGTGTGCATTGATTTGACCTGTTTGAAAGCATAATGTTACATATAATTTACAAACATTATTTTACCTGCTCTATCACATAATTTTCCATTATTTTCTCTAGCAATTTCAATGAGCTGTGGATCATTATTCCCAATGCATAGTGACATGCTCCTAAACCTCTGAGAACCGATAGCAGATCAATCTCTCTTTTAATTGTTGCATAATTCCTTTGAAAAGGTTGTCCATAAATGCTAAGGGAGAAGGATAAATCGTGTTCTATGATGACTGTCTATTTGATTTGTG